TGTAGAAAAATGATGAAAACAAATAAGGGTAGAAGATGGAAGATGAAAAAAAATGTAGGGGGGGGGGTGTATGTATGAAAGCAATTTATTGCTAGGCGTGGCCCTCGACTACTAATACATGGCGGGGTTCATTGTTTGAGGCTTGCGAAAAGCGAACAATTGACGCCGCACTCAGAGGGGCTCCCGCATGCCCATACCACAACGACTTGGCGCGCTATCCCAACGTCACTGAGCTTGATCGTGATGGTATTGTTTTACCATCTTCTGAGGATGTGATATCTCGTTCTCAGAGTGTTCGATCAAGGACTTTCAGAACAGTCGAGGAGCACATTCGCTATTCGGCGCTCAAATGCAATGGGCTGATTTTCTACAAATTGTGGAGCGCGGCAAAGATTCTCGACATCATTAAGGAAGAGGTGAAGCTACAATGGCCAGCCTAGTGATACGTCGACGGAATTCTTCGTCCAAGTTGTGTTGGGCGGCTCGTGCTCGGGCATACTTCTTGTAGTGCTCGTCCGCAAGCCAATGTCCCTTCCGGATGCACCAATCGAGCAGAGGTCCGTCACATTTGCCCGGGTCTGTGGCCGCAATAATAGCGCTCACGTTGACCTCATACCCATGCTCACCAAGGTTTAGCCCGGCCCTTGAGAAAGATATGTGCTTGCAGTTGAATGCCAGAGAGAAGCGCCTGTAAACAATGTCTCCCACTGGGTGCTTGCGTTCGCTTTTTTTTTTGTGCATATATACTGCTCGCCAATTTCTTGGCCGGTGATATACAGATGGCTTATGACCATGCGCTGCTATGGAGTACTTTGGCCAACCCATTTCGGTGGATGACAGCTGCGTGATGCGCAAATGCGGCAGCTGGGATCTTCGATGGCTTCGTTGTGGCACGAAGTATAAGACCTCATGCCTCTGTGTATAGGAGTATACTGTGATCTGCGGATGCACGAGTTTTGATGTAGTCGAACCCGGCTGAGTTTCACAATGAATAGACGGCGATGCAATAGTGAATGAAGAATATTTCGACACAGTTTCGTAATCCGAGCCGTGGCCATTGGGACTTGTTGTGATGTTTGGACCGCACGATGAACAGTGCGACCCAAATGGGGGATGTTAAAACCCTCCTGGCCCCGTGCCTATACTAGGAAGCCGTTGTGAGGTCCATATTCTCTTTGGTTGAGGTGTTCCAATGGATGCCACATTTGGCTCAAGATACAAGTGGGGCTTATGGTCTTGCATGAACTTGCGTTTACCTGTGATCGATCCGAGTGAGAGGAAACAGGTGCGATCGCGCTGCTGATCTCGAACGTGTGTGTGTGGTTATCGAACAACACCCTTACAACAGTTTGCACTGGTTTGGCTGTATCGGTTTGGCCGTACATCCTCTCTACGTGGTTGAGTACATTCAGCTGGAAGCTTGGTGGACAGCGTCCCACGGGACGTCATCTTGCGCTCTTGAGAGGAAATAGGAAATGTAAATCTTGCCGCGGACGACCTGAATCGGCCTCTTGATAATTATGATCAACCTCGTGCCACGCTGCTTGGAGACGCACATCGTCTTCCACCCAAGATTGTGTTTCATGTGACATGGTGCTGGCGCTGAGAGAGACCCACCCAGCGTTCCGGCACCGGATGCAGGAGAACCCGTAAGCCGGACGTTTGAGGCTTTTAGGCTTGGGCACACACTGTGACAAAAACAATTGTGAACGCGCCCTTACGAGCAGATGTCCAGCAGAAGGACGCGGTGCCTTAGCCAATCGTGGACAGTGGCTGAACCATTGAGGTCAACGCCGTTATAACAACACCAAGGCGGGGCCATGCAAACCAGGGGCCTGCTTGGGTGGGGGTCAGCTGGACAACTTTACCACCCGCAGGACTGATACCCAGCCTGTCATGTGCAGCAATCATCACCTGGGGCAAGAGAACTCCAGCATGGGAAGCAGGCCGTGTCGAAGTGCCCAGGGGCTCGTTTGGGGCTGTGGCTGTAAACCAGAACAGTTTTATTTTCTTCCGGAGGTCTGATTTCCAGCTCGTTTTGGGCGCGTATATTTCCAGCTTCGCTTTTTGGTCCCGATGATTTGCAGGCGGCGGTTATGTCTGGGCGAGAGCCCGTGCTAAAGGGTTGCGTTGCCATGAAGTGCAGATTGCGCCAGGACGTAGCCCCGGAAACTGTCGTGCTGGCAGTCACTTTTGGCGCCATTGTGACGAATCATGCTGGCGTGTGCTGTCTTTCTGCGCAGAGGTGCAGGCGGCTCGCTGTTTCGCCGGTCTGTCATTTGGGCAGAGAAGAGTGGGTGGGTTTCCCGAATCATGGCCAGGTATTTGTCCTTGGTGGCGGATGTTCTTGATGGCCTCCCTCAGCTCCTGCCCATTAAAGAACGTGGTCTTTTCCCGTCCAGTGGGCTTGCTTCTGTCCCAGGACCCTAAGTGAGCAGTATGCAGCTTTTGACTCTCCGACAAGAACTGGCGAGCTTTGAGGTTCGCTCCCGTCCTTTTTCGGCAGACTCGCAGCGTGGTGGTCGACAACATTTTTCTCCTGGAGTTGCGGCGCACGACCTTTATTTATTTTTTGTCTTCCCGGCCTTTTGCAAGGTGCGCTTTTGTGGCTCTCACGACTTGACAACATTATTTACAGACACTTCCTGGTGGTTCGCTCGGATGGATGTATCAGCAGTTTGGCGGTTTATCATTTCTTTTTTGCGCGGGCGGAGAATGGAGGACTTGGGCAACGGTCTGCATTTGCGGTTTCGGTTCGGACTTGCGAGGGCTACGTGTGGTGCTATAGATTTTGTTTCCGATCGTGTTTTTGCTGGCTTCTCTTTGCCTACGAGCCTCAGCGCGTGGCAGTGCATTTTCATTTGCTTTGCTACAGCATTCTTTGCATCTAGACTGCTGGTTACTACTTGCACGCGACTTTCATTCACGACTTCGATGGCCGTGATTTCGGTACTCCTCACACTGATGAGTGAGCGTGGGTGCCTGCACTCATTCGAACTTAGGACATTGGACTATTCGATAGGCGTTTCATCCCCTTGCGGGCGTGGTTCCTGCGATGTTGAGCGCAGCCTCCGCCCTTTGTCAACGCATGACGACAGCACCGTCGCATGTTTGCCGCAGCTTTCGTTTTTTTTTTTTTTTCAGTGTTCTTGGTTGCTGATCTCTTTTGTGTTTGGGTTGTTTATTGCCCCGCCTGGGCCCCTTTTCGCTGATTTCAGCAACCTTGCCCTACCGCCGCTGGGGCTGTGGCAGCTGTTGGTTGTGTCAGAATTGTATTTTGGGACGGTCGATGTCGACAGTGGCTACAAGGTGAGAGAAAAGTCGTTGTTCGTGTTGCTCGTGCCGCGTTAGTTGGCCCCAGGCTTTTGCCAGAAAGAATGGTGTGTCCTGGTAGCCAAAGTATTTGCAATTTTGTCTTTTCGCTTTTGGCCTGAGGTTTTTGATTACTTGCCTCTCCTCGTCCAACTGAATCTGGTCTGGGAGCAACAACCGGGGGGACAGGCAGAAAACACTCAACTCGTCGAGAGTTTGCGGTTTTTCGTGGTGAAAAGGGAGGGGGTTCCTTGCGGGCGCTGCCATTTATTTTTGGGCGTGTTAGCCCTTCGTGCCTTTTTTGGCATTGCATACTCTCTCCTTGCGAACCCTCGTTCACCTTTGGCTTCCCTCTGACGCTCCCTTTGGCTCCGTCGCCTTTGGCTCCAAAGTGGGTTGGCGTTTGGAACGCTTTTCTGGAACCTGCGAGCTTTCCGCAGGTTGTGCAGGCAGGGCACGCGTTTGGGGTTCGTGTTTGCGCGTCGGGCAAGGCTCCTAACGTTGCAAGGGTTCCACTGTGAGATATAGGGGTTTGGGTCACTTGCTGTTTCGAGAAATTCATGCTCAGTAGTAACACAAAAATGATTTTTCCATGGTTTTGATTGTAATTCCCGCAGCAAGACTGCAATCATCTCCAATGCCCGCAAACACAAAGGAGCTGCAAGACCTTCCTACGTTTCTTTTGGGCTTGTAAAAATAAATGAGCTTCTTTTAGAAAGGTCGTTGGAGGCATGGTTGTGGGACGTGTGCATTTGGGTTGGCGTGGGGATGGGAATCAACCACTTAGGTCGCACACAGAAGAGGGGTTGGGTGTCTCAAACCTAGGAATCCCTTGCAAGGTGATAGATAGGTTTCCGTTCTTCTCGTTTTGCATCCAAAACGGTGTTCCCCTTTTCAGGACGTATCTTTGGGTGGGCAAAACGCCAAGGACTTGTAATGTACGTTGGAGAACGTTTCATTTACTGGAAGCAATGCCGGTTAATTGACATGCTTTTGGAGGAATTAGGTACGGCTGACATGGTTTGCAAGACGTTGGACACAGCCATTTGAAGCCTCCCGCCATGAGTCACTGACTTTGTCATTGGTGGTCCACGCACAATTTCCCATGCCTTCTTGGAGATAGGATTTGTCGTCCAATGCTCGCCTGGTATCCCAATACTTCCAAATGCAAGACTTTTGTAAAGTGGAGAGGGTCTGCGCATGGTTTGGATTAGTCCACGCGGCTGGAGAGAAACCAGGCGGGTTGTCAGACGTGCCTGGGGGCCTGTGAAGGTTGGACCCTTTCCACTGCAGAATCACGTAGACCTTGTTTTGCTTAGCGTTTCTTTTGGTTTTTTGCGAATCCCGCTTTGAATGTTCGAGGGACATTTGCAAAGGAGAAACGGGGCAATTGTGAAACAACCGTTTCACATTGCGGCGAGCAAGTTGTAAAACCGCACGACCCCCATCTGAAGACTCTGGCAAAGTCCACGTTTGCCACACCACAGGCATGTTTCGTTTTGGTGTTGGCCTTCCTAAGGGGTGCCTGATCTTGGGACAAGGTGTCTTTTTGCCACCAAGTTGGGTTTCGCTTTATTTTTTGAGGATGAATCAAAGGGCTTCAGCCGGTTAACCGTGTGTTTGGCCCTTGCCTGCTTGCCATGCGCAGCTCAGAGCCCAGGCAAACTCAGAGGTCTAAGCTCAGAGCCATGGCCTCAGATGACGACGCGGAGCCGATCTGCCCCCCGCTACCCTGCATCGCTTGCCCCCCGCGGGTGCAGCAGGTGATGTCGCGGGTGCTGCGGGCGGCCTCCTGCGTCGAGGGCACGGAGGTCCGGGTCTTTGGCTCCTCAGTGAACGGCTTCGGGGATGGCAGCTCCGATGTGGACGTGGTGCTCTCTGCGGGCAAGGCCCAGCTGGTGGCGGGCCTGCAATTGGGCAAGTGCAAGCGCAAGGACCTAGCGGCCCAAACCCTGCGGAAGCTCCAGCGGCTGTTGAAGCAGTGCGGCTTCCACATTGATCTTTTGATCGCTCGCGCCAAAGTGCCAATCATCAAAATGAGCCTGGACTGTGACGGCGACTACATCGAGTGTGACTTGTCGGTCAACAACCTGTTGCCGGTCTTCAACACCAAGCTGTTGAGGTGCTACGCAGACCTCGACCCGCGTGTGGTGGATGTGGTCCAGGAATGCAAGCGCTGGGCAAAGGAGCAACAGGTGCATGGGGCAGACCGTGGCAACCTCTCCTCCTACGCCTTCACGCTTCTGGTCATCTTCTACATGCAGATCCGCGGGGCCCTGCCCTGTCTGCAGTCGGACGGAAAGCCCTCCTGGTACTCGGAGGGCGCACGGCGCTTCAACGTGGCCATGGTGGAAGCGGCTCCCATCCCCTCCCCAGCGGCGGTGAGCTTTGCGGACTTTGTGTTTTTCTACTCGGAGGAGTTCCAGTGGGGGGACTGCGTGGTTTCCGTCCGCACCGGACGCTGCGATCCGCCAGAGAAGTATCCCGACTTAAAGATTAAGGCCAGAACCGGCGTCGAGAAAGAGGAGTTGGACTACTTCCTGCACATAGAGGACCCCTTTGACATCCAGCGGAACCTGAGTTGTGTGTTGGGCCCAGGCAGCAATTATTCTCTTTGGGAGGCGTTGCGGTCCTTCAAAACAAAGGCTGCTCGCAATCAGAGGCGCTGGGTTGGGCGCATGGGTCCCCGCTCTGCTGCCTGAAGCACCCGCGATTCGCTGCCTGGAGGAATATGGAAGCGCCTACCATTCAGAGTTGCTAAAGCAAGGGCACCTATTTGCCTTCTTGTCGGACAAGTTCCTGTCGTATTTTGGTCTCATGGTGGTTTTGGCTTGTAGTGCTGACCGTGGGGTTCTGACAACTGTAAGCTGACAACCTTATGCCATTTGGTATGGTCAACCCTGAGACCCATGACAGCACCCGCATGGGGTTTGAGTTGGCACAGCGCAGGTCAACGAAGCTTCCGCGTGGACAGCGCGGTGACGTAGGCGAGAGGGAGAGGGAGAGAGTTCCCCATGGCCCCTTGACCCGATTTGTTTTTGCTTTTTTTGCACAAAGTGGTGTGTACAGTGTCGTATCAGACGTTTTCAGCTACTCTGTGAGTTTGGGCAACACGTGGCGGTTCGAAACGGACTTAACAGGCAAGGTAAGCGACTTTGGGCCAAAGCCCGCGTCCCCTTGAGGGTTCAAGGGAGGCGAGCCCCCCTGCTGGTGATGGCTCAAGCGAATCAAATGTAACGATACAAAAGTAGATACGCTTGCAGTTTCAGAGGCGTTTTTGGCCTGTGGCATCAGATGCAGTCAGTGCCATTCATGAACACAAAAGCCTTTGTTTTACCTGGCCCGGTCCATGTGAATTCCGGTCCATGGTCCATGTGAATTCTGCTGGGCTTGGTCTCTTTGAGGGCCCGTGGTCCCCGAATTCGCAGTATCTCACGGCGATGGACCTGGATCCGCTTCTGCTGCACGCGGAGGCTGGGGATGTGGAGGCGCTCAAGGCGGAGCTCGAGGGCGAGGGACCGAAGCGCCTGAGGTGCAGGGATCCGGACAGGAGGACCGGGGACATCCTTTTTGCTCCGTGGACTCGTCTTTTTTTGTTGTTGTTAAATCAAGGTTTTGTTTTGGTGGGCCGGATTTGGGTAGAAGGTTCGGTGACTGGACGGAAATTGAAGCGGCCGCTCTCTTGATTCTTCACATGGTAGTCCCCCTTAGCACCACGTTAGGTGTGTGTGTGTGTGTGGCTATCAATACACTTTTGGTTGCAATTCGTGAACATTCATGAAATACTTGGGCGACACCTGTCTTAGCCGCATGAAGTGACACAGGTTCGGACGGATTTTGGTGTCGGACCTGAAAGTTTTTGAATGACCCGGCTTCTTCGGACCACTCCATTTGGTGCGTCTTCTTTAGGACCGCGCTGCACCGGGCCTGTGCCAACGGCCACGAGGAGGCTGCGAAGCTGCTGCTGGCCCAGGGCGCGCAGGACCCTTGTGGCTCGCTTGCGGCTCGTGGGGTTTGCTGCGCCTGACAAAATGGCCATGAATTTGAATGGGGAAGCGCCTCAAAAGTGATTGGTGGACACGAATCCCCACCTAAACGATGTCCACCAAAGGATCCTTTAGTAAAATTCATAGCCACATAGGCTCAAAATCTTTTTTGCTGCCGGAGAATGTCACCAGTATTTTTTTCCCAAGGCCATTTGCGGTGGAACAAAGGTCGCCAAAATATACATGCTTCTTTTCAGGGGTGGTTTTGAACATCCCCCTTTGGCAATGCCAATTTAATCTGGCTTGGGGGAGTCCGGCTCTATTTTTGCTTGCGGAGTGCTTCGGCTCATTTGTTCAGCATACAGTTAGGCACAGTTTCCCCATTTTGGCTTCATCTCCACCATTTCCACACCGCACAATTCAGTTGTGGCCGTCCGCTCTGACCCCGCGACCCTGGGGGCTGGTTCCTGCAGGCAGAGGTGGAGGACGAAGAGGGGTGGACGCCTTTGCACTCCAGCAGCAGCCGCGGCAGCCATCAGATAGTGCACCTCCTCATCGAGGCGAAGAAAAACCAGCAGAGAGTCGTTTTTTTTCTTGCCGTTTTTTTTGTTTTTGTGTTTCTTCTTTTTTTGTGTTCGGGGGAAGGTGCACTCTTTGAGTCACCCTTTTTGTAGGTGGCTTGGTTTGGTGGCTTGGAGGTTAAGGGGGGTAACTTCTTGCTTGGTTTCAACAAACAGGGGTTTAAATCAAATGGTCCCACCAATCCAAAGCACCAATTTGAGTGATTGAGCTTGTTGTCAGAGACAAACTCATCCCCCCCCCTACCGAAACTGTCAACGAGAACCTTACGATGAGAAGGTTTCTTCCGAACTTTTCCTGCAGAGTGGGACAACAACAAGGCATATATATATATAATATAATATATATATATATATATATGATGCATATATTTTGGAGTCTTTGGTTTCCTCGCTGAAACTGTATGGATCCAGATAGTAGGTACGGAGGCAATCTCCAGCAGAGGCATGCTGAAAAAAAACCTGGCGTGTATAGGTTCTTCGTTCGTCTTGAGAGGGGGCGCGCGCCGTGTTTTCTTTTGGTTCTTCTGTGACACCGACCAATCGGAGGGCACATGTCATGGTTTTATAGGACGCTCATCTTTGCGGACATTGGGGCCGAGGTAAAAAAAACAACTAGTAGTCTAATCGTTCGTTTGGGAGGGATATGGGACTCACCAAACTTCCGAAAAATCAGGGACCTCGTCCTCATTTTTCCATGTCCTGTTGCAGAACCAGCCAGACTGTTGGGATCATATCGCATCCACAATGCATCAAAGGGTGTGTCATAAGTCATCGTCAAAGAGTAGTTTGGCAGGCAAGCACAAACGTTTGGTCGAACTTTTTTGGGACCACGGTTTCAAGAAGTGGTTGTTTTTCTTTTGCGAGGGTACTTTATTTGGGCTCGTTTGAAGGGGATTAAAGGGAAACCAAGCCCGTTTGGGGTTACCTCAGTTGAGGACAGATCCAATCAACCCCTCCGCGCGGCAGTTTCGAAGCCACTTCACACAAAATCTCCCCAACCCCAGAAAAATAATAGTAATAAAAAGCAGAAGGCGCTTTCCTCCACTGCCCGTTTTCTTCCGAGTCTCCGCATCCGGCATCCCTCGCCCCGGCCGGGCGCCCGGCCGCAACCGCCCCGTTACGAGGCGGGGACGGATGTGGACGCGGTGACCTCCAGCGGCGCCACGGCTTTGCACTTCGCGGCGGCCAAGGGTCATGAGGAGGTCATCAGGACAGCTCGGGGAGGAACTTTTTCGGACGTTCTTCTTTTTTGGGGAGGGGGCTTTTCGTTTTTTTTTTTTTTGTTGGAGGGGAGGGGACGAAGAACTAGTTGTTTTTCTTTGGGGGATCTCCGATTTCCATGGCTGTCTTCCCTTTTTTTTGTTGTTGGGGGGTATTGTTTGACCCAGGGGTGTTTTTTCCTTTTGAGAAAGGTGGCGCTTGTTAATTAGGGGATGCTTTGTTGGACCTGTTTTTTAGGGAAGAAACCAGGTGCCGCCCAAGTTCCGCGCTTGGATTCGGAATGCATTTGGGAATGTTACTTTGGGATCCTTTGTTGGACATTTGTGGGAGTCATGCCCACCAACCACTCTTCAGGGGGTTCCAATAAAATGCATAGCCATGCACGACGCGCACCGATTCGGCTGGTTATAGGCCTGGGTGTTTTACAGAGGACATCCGAAGCAAGGGGATGTTGCATCCATATCCATCCCCTTTATAATTTGCGTCCCGCTATAATAATTTCCTTCTCCCTCCAAACATCAGTCGGATGTTCCCACTCCAAGCATCAGTCAACATGGTACTATCCAAGTAAGGAACTTGAATAGAGGACATCAATATATATATATATATACATATTTCGGTTTGTGCTGGTGTTGACTGGTTTGGTTTAGTATTGGTTTGATATTGGCTGGAGTACCCCCAAAATAAGGCCGGGGTCAGGCTGGGCGAGAAAAATCCAGTTTAGCATTGGCTTAGAATTGGCCTATTCTAAAAGTATTGGGGACCAGGCGGGCTGGGGAGAGCGATGTTGATGTTGTTTTAAATGGGTGCATCTATTAATAGGGGGAAGCGATTAGAAAGAAGGTCTGTAATTCAATTTCGCCTGGTTTTCATGCTTTCCTCGTGTTCAAGCCTCTGAAGATTCCGATGTTTTGTGTTGCAACTGGGCGCTGTGCGTTGCGTGCGGTCGTGCTTGCAATGCACCTTCGCATTGAGGCGGTTTGATAACTTTCTGCTTTACCTTGCCTCAGTCAACAGTACTTGGCACTGTACGTCTGCAATCTTTAATTTGACTGGCTGGCTTTTTGCCGAAGAGGGTCGCAAGGCATTGCTCTTCAGCGAGCAGCGTGGAGCAGTAGTTGGCAAACGCCTGTGTCGGGTGCATGAAAATTCCGTGAAAGATACCCTGCTTGAAGGCGTAGTTTAACAGCAGGGCGGTTGACTGAAAGGAGTTGTGCCCAATGTTTCACCGCTGAAGAAGCTGAGACGGATCATGTCGTAATTTCATCAAAGCCCCCTTCTTAGCAACCATACAATTACTGTAAGATGACTGTTGTAAATTCGAGTTATTGCAATTAATGGCCAATAGAAGCAACGAAGACCGCGCGGCGCGACAGACCACACGCCACGCTCCAAGTGATGCAGCCGCTGACAAGTCCAGTGAAAGGGAAGATCCGCAAACATGTTTTGCCAACATGTGGGAAACCGTTTCAAGCGTGAACATTCCGTGTATGGAACTTCCAAGAAGCTGAGTCGCTTGCTGGTGGGCTGTTGAACACTGGCGTCGCAAGCGGGCATAGTCAAAATTTTCAGGTATTTTGGAGGGTACCCTCCCCCAGACTAACATGGAAGCTCCCAGGACCCCTTTGGAAGACTGGGTTCCATTTACAGAGGCCTTCTGGGAGCTTCCATGTTAGTCTGAGGGAGTGTAAGTCAAGGGGAGTCGACTCCATGCGTTTGCCTTGTCAAACCTCGGCACACGCTGCACCGTTTCAGCTCCTTGGGCAGGACGCTGCTGGCGGCCAGGGCCAAGGCTCGCCCGTTTTGAGTCGACCGGTTTGGTTGCACTTTGCATCGACGATCGGTAGAACGATCGCCCTGTCAACCGGGTTCTCTGCAAGTGAGTCTCCTGCATTAGAATGGAGGCTTCTGAAGATGGCGGACTCCTTCTCCGTTGGCTGAAGGAAAGCCAAAGGAATGACTAGTCAGTCCACTTATTTGGGCGTCCCGCACCTCCTTGTCCCCACTGATTCTGAACCCGCTCTCTAGGTGGTCAATCCCATGGGATTCCAATCCTGATGGAATTCCAAGTTAGAATCTTCAGTGTAGTGATAACCTGGTCATAGAGGTTGGGAATTGGGATTTTAGAGCTACTTCGAGCCCCTTATTGATGGCTCAAGTAGTCGTGGGTGCGAAGATCCACTTTGACATGGGCTCCCGTTGGGCTCGCCGCCGGGCTCTGCAAAACTCGGTGTGCCCTTTGTGCTTTTGAGACACTGGTGCAGTTCGTGCCTGGACCTTGCCCGGTGCAGGGTTCCAATAGGAAGGGTTTGATCAGACCCCGCATAGCAAAGAACTTGTAGATTTTTCTTTTTGAAGGGTCCAACTTAGCCTGGTTTGCGCAAGCCCAAGCTTACCTAAGAATATCGCGAACATTCTAGCACAAATGGGATACCAGGCTTACGACTTCTGTCCTTTGTTTGCCAACACCCCAAACAACAGGCCAACGCTTGGCCCAACGCTTCAAAGCCCAACAAAGACAAAAGGCAGCTCGAAAAATATAACAAGAACGCCCCACCCCTCCGCGAAAAACCCGAAGCCAACCCAAAACCCCAAAGACCAACTGAACAACCATGATGAAGCTCCAAAACAAAGCGAGGAAACACCGCCGCAGGCGCAACCCAACCCCCGTTTGAGGTGAACCTACGGGACCGCTCCGGGGGCACCCCGCTGCTGCGCGCGGCGGGGGCCGGGCGACTCGGCGCGCTGCAGCGGCTGTTGGAGGCGCAGGCGGATGTGAGCTGCAAGGACAAGGTGCCTTTGGGGCTGGTTGGGGGGGGGGGTGGAGGTGGGTTGGTGGGGAGGTGGAGGGGGGTGGGTGGGAAAAGCAGAGGTAGGGTTGGTTGGCTGATGTTGGTTGAGATGATGTTGGTTGAGATGATGTTGGTTGAGATGATGTTGGTGGTGCGGTCGAGGGGGATGGGTCCCAGGAGAGAGTGGGTTCAGTATGGCAGGGTACTGCAGCTGCTTCCCTGCAAAGTGGTAAAGTAGTCATGGGAAGGGGAAAGACGGGGGCGGGCGGTTTTGGGGGGCGTGATTCAGTTTTTTTCAATGGCGAGCTCACAAGGGGGTTAAACCCGCTCACCATGATGGTCCTTTGCTCGAGGATCCCTTGTTCCGGTTGGTTGGTTGGCTGGCTGGCTCGTTGGTTGGGACCCTTTTGGTTGGTGACCTTTGGAATGTTCGATCACAAAAGGTTTGCCAGGTGGGGGGTGGTGGGGGGTCCTTGTTTTGTCTTCATTTCGACCATGTTTCTCTTGGAAAAAGAGGTCAGACAGGCTGGGCAAATCTCATGATAGCTGCGGGCTTCTATTTGGCCTGGCCGCCTGCTTTAGGGTTTGAGCGTGGCACAGGATGCATATTTTTTGGACACTCTGTGGCACAATGCTTGGGCTCCTATACTGATTTGCCTCCTGTTTTTGCCTTCCATTTGGTCTAGTTCCCATTGACCCACTGTTGACCCCATTCTGCCCTCATCTTGATCAACCTTTCATGTTTGACCTTGACTATTTTAGTTGACCCCATTTGTTGTTTGACCACATTTGTGACCCCCAAATTTTGCGCGCTTTTCTGGCCACATTTGGATCGACCCCCTGCATGTTTTGCTTGACCAATTTTGTTTGACCCTACGCGATCATACAAGCACCAACGAAGGCCAGGTTGACCCGTTGCCCGCCCCCCTCTCATTTATTCAACGAAAAACATGTTGACATCATCAAGCGCGGTCCCTTCAATGGTCAATGACGTGACTGGCCGGCATCTATTCGTGGGGAAATTGGGCACAACAAGACAAGTTGTCAACGGTTTTCAGTTTCGCTGTACTTCCCTGCCCTGGCCAAAGATGAGGCGGGGGAAAACGTCTTCCACGTGGCCATCAACGGGCACCAGGCGCGGACCACCAATCCCTTGTGACTTGGGCAATTGGCCACTCAGACTTAAACCGGTCAGGGTTCGTTCTTAGGCTTTTGAACTTTGGGCCCATGGAATTAGGGGGTGTCTCAAAGGAGTCCCTAAATGGTCGGCTTTCTGTCCGCTTCCATTTCAATGCCAACCACAAGTGGGCTTTTCTGAGATCCGTTTTGAGAAACCCTCAAAGAAAGCCAGCATCAAACAGTGCTAGTAAAATGCAGAATTCTTCCACCCGGAAGGCCCCGTACGCCTTCCTGGGGGGGGTTGACAACCGAAGGGGAAAAAACATCGGACCGCACAATCAGACCACACACAAGCACTACCTCAAGCTGCAGCTTCACGCATGTGGCTGAGGGGCTATTCGTTTTTTGTCCTTGTTTTGGGGGGCGGCTCCTCAAACATGGGAGGTTGGTTATTCCTCAATTTTTCCGGGTAACCACATTCAGATTGTGGCTAGTTTTGGTGATGTGGGCTCGTTTAGTCCTGACCCATGAAATGTTCGCAGTTTCTGCCCAAAGGGGCTTAGGGAATGGAAAGACGTTGCTTTTGGCTCGCTCTACAGGTGCATTTCCGCTGGTAGCCATCCGCCGCTCGCTCGCCGCCTCGCTCGTAGGTGGAGATGTGCGACCTGCTCTTCGAGAGGGATGAGGCTGAGAAGCTGATGACCCAGGCGGGGGTGGAATGAGGAAGTTGTCGCTCTTGTGGCTGGGTACCCTCGAACACCGGAAGCCGATTCTTTTTTGGGGGTCCGATTCCTGAAAAGAGACGCACCCGTGTGGAAAATCGTCGGGTTGCAAGGCTTCCCTTTGAGGCCGACCAACGAAAACCGACTTAACTCGGTTAGGTGTTCGTACGTAGTTTTCAGGATTTTATGCTCAAACCGTTTTGGTCACCGGAGTATGTGTGTTTGTGTGTGTGTGTGTGTGTGTGTGTGTGTGTGTGTGTGTGTGTGTGTGTGTGTGTGTGTGTGTGTGTGTGTGTGTGTGTGTGTGTGTGTGTGTGTGTGTGTGTGTGTGTGTGTGTGTGTGTGTGTGTGTGTGTGTGTGTGTGTGTGTGTGTGTGTGTGTGTGTGTGTGTGTGTGTGTGTGTGTGTGTGTGTGTGTGTGTGTGTGTGTGTGTGTGTGTGTGTGTGTGTGTGTGTGTGTGTGTGTGTGTGTGTGTGTGTGTGTGTGTGTGTGTGTGTGTGTGTTGTGTGTGTGTGTGTGTGTGTGTGTGTGTGTGTGTGTGTTTGTATCCTCCTCCTCTTGGATTGTGTTGGGAAGCTGTGGCAAGGCGTACCCAGCCTGTTGGAGGCATGGATGTCCGACTTCTAGACCAAATTTCAACAGTTCGACAGGTGCTACTGGCTTCGGTTTCAAGTTGAGTTTCATTTTATTTGGGTTTGTCTTTTTTGGAGTCGGTGCTCCTGTTTTGGTGGTCAAGAGGAAAACCACGATTTTCTTGCGGAATAAAAGAGGCACACCCATGTTTGCAAAAGGGACGGCCACAACCAACTTCTAGCGGCCCGACTCGGAGCAGGTTTGTGTGATCAGCCGGAATGAACCACTTTGGTATCACAGAAAGGGGGGGCCGCTTCCAATGAGATTGGTTTTTCAACTCGAGAGAAACTCGGATCCAAACCCTGGCACTACCCCAGCGAGGTTGTTTTGTATCCACCGTTTCGGCTTCAGGGGTAAGTTTCCTGTGAGATCATGTTCAAAGATTTACGTGGGTGTTTAGGATAACCATGGTGGTTTATGATAAGCATGAGGGCTCTGTTTCCTCGATTGTAGTGGCACTTCTTTCCCCTTTCTCTTTGGTTGGTTTCCCACAAAGTATTCGCCAACCCGCAAAAAGGGAACACGTCTTTCCGCGCCCTGCCTTTGCGCGGGACCATTTTTTGACGGGAGCAAAAAAACCGCTAGGAGAACGCCGAGGGCAAGACGGCGGCCCAGCTTCTCTTGGACTTCACCCCCATGGAGGCCGCTGAGTCGGATTTTGGTTGGATTCAGCCAGGTTTGTCTCATCGGCCCAACATGAGAGTGGTTTGCCTTTTGGTTTCCCTGTAAAACGCATCAAAGGTGCCCTCAAGAAAAGACACAGCCAGGCAGCCTGGAGGTTTTACGTGAGAGGGTTGGTCAACATTTGATGAGTTGTCTACTCAAAATTTAGCGGGAACTCACTCAACTTCTTACAAAGACCATGGGAATCATAATTTTCCGAAGTTGTCTGGAGGAAACGCGTAATTTTGACTGCACACGGAGCCAACAAATCCTTCACTTTTGCGAGCGTTTGCGGGGGTGGGGGTTTCCCTTTCCGAATTCCATCTTGGGCTCCAGGGGAGTACCCGTTTTCTACGCAGGTGGGCGGGAAGCGGCCTGTGCAGCAAGCCATGATTGGTAACGTCGAATCGGAGGTTATTGCAATCCTGTTTCCTTTTTCAAGCGACAAGTGACAAGCAATTGTCTTAGGGATGGCAATCCCACGTCGGTATCACGACTCACAGAATGCTTTCGAAGGGGGACATCATTGATCCCACCCTTTCTTCCAGAAACACCCATGCCTTCCCGCACTGTAGACGTGTGCTTGACCCATCAATGCACCACGGTTCCTGCTTTCCTGCAACCATAGGGGTCGCAAAAAAATGGATGCATTGTGTTGGTGCTGGTGCAACACGATTGGCCAGGTGCCACCCTCCGAGCTGTTTCTCAGCTGGATCGCTTTGAAGTGAACTGGTGGGGGACAGGTTCGGGGGCCCAAAAGGGCACAACTGGCGTTGAGGATCAGAATGAGGTTGCGTGGCTGGTGCCTTTTCTGCGATTCCAATGTGGGGGAACCTGCTCCCTATTCTGGGAAGCACCTATGTGTTCACTCAGAAGTTGTGGATGTGAGCTGCATTGGGCATCTCATTGTTCAGTGATACCTTTGGAAATCCCTCTAAAGGACAAAGATGAAATCTGACCCACTTTGGCATCCCCCGCAACTCGCCATTGTTCGCATGCCGCCAGGTTCGGGACAAGATCAAGTCGATTTGGCGCGAGAAGCGTGGCGGCTGATGCGGAGAAAAGCGCTGCGTGTTTTGCAGGGTTGTGCAGGGTTTACACCCCCTGCCTCCCATATAATAAATGTCATGCCTCCCTTACGGAGGGTAAACGATTCCCTGGTATCACAGAAGGCGTTGAGGCATCTTACCTCACTCTAAACTCTCTATATTCCCCTTTAAGGCTAGTTTGGATTACTATTTTGTAAAAAGTCCAAATTCAAGTCAGTCTTCTTCTTGTGCTGCGATGTTCACAGGTTGGACGTGGGTGCGTTACGGGAGGATCAACATTGGATCTAGTTGGATATACTGTAGGCCGCAGCTGGGTTTGTTTCAACATGGCTGTGTTTTGGACAACTCACTGTCCCAGACCGGATATGTTTTGATATTTTGGCAAGGCCATTTATTTGACCAGCAAACCACCAAAGGTCAAAGAAACCCACCAAGCCGGGTGCTCGCTCGCTCGCGCAGGTGAAGATGAGGGGGTCCGGCCTGCATAAGGCCAGATGGGCTGGGCCAAATTGGGGTTCGCAAAATTTGAGCATTTGTGGTGGACACTTGTTCAACCAAGGGGTCGACCCAACCCTGGCAGCAAAGCCGCATGTCATGGGCGGACAATGTTTGTATGGGTGGCCGCATCAAGCGGGGAAAGGCGAAGCGGGTCGCGTTGGCGAGGCCGGGCAGCACCTCAACTACCAGGCGATGGGGCTACCCAGGCCGCTTCGCTTTTGCCGACCGAGTCGCAGCTTTGGCCTCGATGGGAATTGAGGGATTTGTTTTTTTCAGGGATTTCGGTCATTTCGCCCAAGGGGAAATGAGGCAATTGGGAAAGGACCCAACGTGGATGATGTTTGGGCGTACTTGCACCGAACTGGGCTCTTGCTAGGGGTCATCTTGCTGGAGTCTTCAAGTTAGGGGTCATTTGCCAAGGAAGGACGGTGCTCGCCTTGCGCCGTGCAAAAGCGTAGGCCGGGCTTGATGCCATCGCCTGGCCTGGACCTCTCGCAGCTGATGCAGGCGCGCGTGTGTCGCGTTTTTTGAGGCACCCTTTGGCGTCTACGGAGTTTGGGGTTCCCCTCTGCTTTGAGACAAGGGAGTATGGGTTGAAATAGGGGTAGCTCGCAAAATGGATGCTTTTTGTTTCTGGTGTCCCTTCGAACCAAAGACGATCTTTGTTTCAGATCCAAAACAATCCACTGGTTGTCAAGTTTATTATTTGGATTTGCAAGCACGTTTCCCTTTGGCAGGGTGACATCCTGAGCATTCACTTGAGGTTCGGTCAAGGTTGCCAGGTTCATGTGGGAGGGACATGAAGTCACCCAGAGCAAAGCAGGGGATGAGCCTCATTTGCGCATGTCCTTTGGGGGAAACCTGCTTAACTTTGACCCTGACTCACCTACCCCCAAAACGACGGCCATGGAATCCCTGGTGCCAAAATGGGAGGCCTGTGCCCTTTGGGCGGGCGGGTTGTCCATAGGACCCAGGACGCTCAGGGTGGTTTGCTTCGAAGAGCCGCCAGGCTCTTGTTCATCTCATAGCCCCGCCGTCGGTGTTTCTGGCGGTGGGAGCCTCGGCACGGCGGAAGCACTGGGGGGACGGGGGGGGAGGGGCAGTGGCGAGTGACTGACTGGTTGCAAGAGGTTGAACAATTCGAGAGAAGACAACATGTATCCATTTCTCGATCAGGAATCGCAGTGACTCATGAGAGCAATTTGGGTGGGGAAATATATACAAGGATCCCTGTTGTTGTTTGAAGAGCTGCTGAGAACCCATAACCTCCCATTCGTCTTTTGCGACTGGGTATGGGTTTTGGAGGTATGGAGGTTATATGATATAAATTAAGCGGTATACCATTTCACATTGAAGCAGACAATCATCCATACCTCTACAAACCATACCTGAAAATACCCGTGGCAGGAAGTGAGGCTGGTTTCCGGGTTGCGCTAAGACGGAGCAATGCATCTGGCGATGTGAAGTCCCCCCCCCCGTCTAACCGATTTAAGGAACCTCCAAATGAACACGGCACACACAGACACACACAGACACACACAGACACACACAGACACACACAGACACACACACACACACACACACACACACACACACACACACACACACACACACACACACACACACACACACACACACACACACACACACACACACACACACACACACACACACACACACACACACACACACACACACACACACACACACACACACACACACACACACACACACACACACACACACACACACACACACACACACACACACACACACACACACACACACACACACACACACACACACACACACACACACACACACACACACACACACACACACACACACACACACACACACACACACACACACACACACACACACACACACACACACACACACACACACACACACACACACACACACACACACACACACACACACACACACACACACACACACACACACACACACACACACACACACACACACACACACACACACACACACACACACACACACACACACACACACACACACACACACACACACACACACACACACACACACACACACACACACACACACACACACACACACACACACACACACACACACACACACACACACACACACACACACACACACACACACACACACACACACACACACACACACACACACACACACACACACACACACACACACACACACACACACACACACACACACACACACACACACACACACACACACACACACACACACACACACACACACACACACACACACACACACACACACACACACACACACACACACACACACACACACACACACACACACACACACACACACACACACACACACACACACTTAAACTCCAGATGGAGGGTGCTAATCTTTCGAGTACAACTGATGAGTCTCGAGTACAACTGATGAGTCTCGAGTACAACTGATGAGTCTCTCATCGTTCGAGTACAACTGGTGAGTCTCGAGTACAGCTGGGGTTCAGCTGGTTTTGGAGAAAAGGGCAAAAAGGGGACCTTTGTTTCGGGTGGGCCCGCCAGCTGCCATGACAATGGCCCAGGCGCAGCCCCGCAGGTACGTTTGGACCCGGACACCGGGGGGCGTCTTCGTTGGCTGGAGACCCCCCGGGCCGGCTCCAGCCCCCTGCTGCGGTGGAAAAAGGTGGATGGTGGCAGGGTAATCTGCCACTCCGCACACACACGCCCCTCAGTGAGGGGCGAAAAGTCTCTTTTTCGGGGGGAAGAAGAAGCGCCCGAAAGACGGACGAAGACCCCAACAGAAAACAAACGGAGCAAGAACCCAAAAGGAACAGAAAGGCCCCACGTTGGGTCTCCGCGGGCAAAACCCCAACCAAGAAACACGAAAAACGGGAAACCGAGTTTAGGGTCACCGCCGAGGGCAAAGAACCCCAAACAGTCCAGAAACCCTCCTAAACCTTGTAGAGAAAGAGCACCGCGAAGTTGAAGAACGACACCACGAACACGCCATCCCTAAACGGGCGAAGAGGAACAACCGGAAGTAGTAGGGAAAGGGGAGAAGAAAAGAAGGAGAGAGCGAGAAAGAGAGAAAGGAGGAGAAGGGCCGAGATGCGTATTTAGGGCGCCGCAGCCCGCCCGGGGGAAGGAGAAAGGAACGCAAGGGAGAGAGAAGAAGAAGAAGGAGAGAAAAGAAGACAAAGGGAGCGAGATGCGTATTTAGGGCGCCGCAGCCCGCCCGAGGAGAGGAGAAAGGAGAAAAAGAAAAGGAAGAGGGAAAAAGAAAAGGAAGAGGGAAGTAGTATGCGTTTTTAGGGCGACGCATCCCGCCCAGACAGGAAGAGAGGATGAAGTCCAAAGCTCGAGGAGGAAGACGACGAATCCCACACAGGGGCCAAGAGGACGAACACGAAATAGCAACGGAAGGGGAAGAAGACGTCAAGCCAAGCTACGTGAGGAAGAAGAGGAGTAGGAACAGGAAGACGGACACGAAGACGACGACGAGGAAAAAGGTGAACAACGCGAGGACAACCAGGCCATCCCTAAGCGGGCGAACAGGAGGAGGGCGAACGCGCGGGTCACGAAAGGCAGCAGGAAGAGAACGGGAGGAAGGAGAAGCCATCCCTAGGCGGGCGAAGAACCAGAAGACGGGCACGCGGAAGACGAAGGCGAGAAAAAAGAACGAAGGGTGAAACGTAGCTATGAAGAGGTGGCTGTCTTCCCTTTAGTGAAACCTCGATCCTGGTTAAATGTGAAATTCCGCTGGTCTATGATAAGCACGCTGAGGTCAAATTTTCCGACAGAGCCGGCCCGGGGTCCCACGATGGGTACACCCGAGGATTCCCCACGAATGGGGTGTACACACTTAAACTCCAGATGGAGGGTGCAAATCTTTCGAGTACAACTGATGAGTCTCGAGTACAACTGATAAGTCTCTCATCGTTCGAGTACAACTGGTGAGTCTCGAGTACAGCTGGGGTTCAGCTGGTTTTGGAGAAAAGGGCAAAAAGGGGACCTTTGTTTCGGGTGGGCCCGCCAGCTGCCATGACAATGGCCCAGGCGCAGCCCCGCAGGTACGTTTGGACCCGGACACCGGGGGGCGTCTTCGTTGGCTGGAGACCCCCCGGGCCGGCTCCAGCCCCCCTGCTGCGGTGGAAAAAGGTGGATGGTGGCAGGGTAATCTGCCACTCCGCACACACACACACACACCACACACACACACACACACACACACACACACACACACACACACACACACACACACACACACACACACACCCCCACACACACACACACACACACACACACACACACACACACACACACACACACACACACACACACACACACACACACACACACACACACACACACACACACACACCACACAACACACACCACACAACACACAACACACAACACACAACACACAACACACAACACACAACACACAACACACAACACACAACACACAACACACAACACACAACACACAACACACAACACACAACACACAACACACAACACACAACACACACAACACAACACACAACACACAACACAC